CAATATACATTATACTGGTCTCACAGGCCACAAATGTTATTAGAAGAAAAAAAATTAGAAAAGAAAAGAAAAAAGTATAAAAAATGTAAAATAATTTTTTTTTTTTTTTGTGGAAGTCACTGATGTTGCCGCCACCCGGCCATTTTGGGTCAACTTCCCGCCGCTGTATCTTGGTAAGTACTGATCAGAAAAAAAAAAAAATTTGTCTTATTACCTTTACAAAAATATACTCTTTAATTCTGTAAGAAAAAACTATTTTTTTTTTTCAAAATTTCTTGGACACTGGAGCACCACTTCAGATTTTGGCCTTGAACCCTGAAGGGGTTAATTCTATTTACATTATTTCTTATGGGGAAAATTGATTCGAAAATCGTCTATTTTGATAATCGTCACATTTCCAGGAACGGATTAACCCTTTCAGGGTCCACAGGCCCTCTCAGAGACTTGTTATCAGGGTCCCCCAGATTTCAAAAAAAAAAAAAAAAATCATTTTTTCTTATGAAAAGATAGAGAATCTTTTCCTGATCATAATGACACCAAAAGCATGAAATTTGATGGAAAATTTGCGTAATTATGCTCTCGCGAAGTTAGCGGTCTTGACAATGTTTACGCATCGGCGATTTTGCCCACTTTGAGCCCTATTTTCGGCCAATTCCAATGTACTAGTCGACAAAAATCATAACTACTTCACTAGAATTCCATTTTTTTCTATCGAATGAGTACAAGAAACCACCCATTTACCGATTTCAACTATCCAATACAGTGGTCAGAATTTAGCAATTTTGCCAATTTCATACAAATTTCAAAAGATGCCAATTTCCAAACAGGGTCCAGAATAAACAAGAAAGACATTCCTGGCACTAAAATAACAATTCCTCTGTTCATCATGCCCCTCTTACAGTTCTTTTGCTTTCCACTTTGAATTTTTATTCTCACAAAAAATAGAAGATTTACCGTTAGGCAGACTACTGCATTAGTGTAGAAATGGTATAAATAATATCGGCGCACTTGTGAAAGAATATCAGACTCACCAGTTGACACGTATTAGACACTTAGCATGATTTGTTCACTTTTGAACTTTGGTAAAAATCGAACATTTCTGCTACTTTGAGCTCAATTTCAAGGTACTTTTCATTGTAAAACCAGTCAAAATCATCTCAACTTCTGTAATATGTCTTCCATTCTATACAATGAGACCAGGAAAACTATAATACAACAATAAATACCATACAAAAATATAGTGCAAAGCTGCTGTTTTAATCCAAAAACAAGGTCAAAGTTTTTTTTTTCTCATTATGCACTCTGTGCTGCAGGATTTTTTTTTATACTGCACACACTGACCACAGACCCATTCTTTCATATGTAGGCCTACCAGCTTTCTCTCACTAGATTTGAAGGCGCTAGAATTTATGAGTACTAGTACGTCATGGACCCTGGTGCATAAGCCATACTAGTACGGCCGAAACCCTGAAAGGGTTAACAATGATAAATGAGTGACCACTGTATTTACATCTCCTTTATTAATTTCTGTTTTCCATTTATACATCTCAATCATATCCCCCCTAATTCTATGTCTTTCTAGAGAGTGCAGATTCAGGGCCCTCAGTCTATCCTCATAGGGAAGATTTCTGATACATGGAATCAACTTTGTCATCCTCCTTTGTACGTTTTCCAGTGCATTCACATACATTCTGTAATATGGTGACCAGAACTGTGCAGCTTAATCTAAATGAGGCCTAACCAAAGATATATCAAGTTGAAGAACAACCTGAGAACTTCTATTATTTATACTTCATGATATGAAGCCAAGGATTCTGTTAGTTTTACTGCAAACACTTATGCACAGTTGTCTTAGTTTCAGATTACTGTTAACCAGAACTCCTAAATCCTTTTCGCAATCCGTAATATTAAAATCTACATTACAGGTCTCCCTCAACATTCACATTTTCAACTATCACGGGCTTCACACATTCGCGAATTCCCAACCGCCAAATTCCGAGCCACCAAATTCCCAGCCGCCAAATCATATTTAAGTTTCCCGCCACCTGCGAGTCCCTACTACCCTCCCTCCAACCCCCGCAACTGGCAGCCAGCCCTCCCACTACTCAGTGTGGTGAGTGTTTTGTTTGTTCATTATTTGCTATTAAACTACAGTATAAATAATGTAAACCCATTCATGACTGCATATTGGAATGGCTATTCGGACAGGTATTAGATGGTGACATCATGTGTTTACTCTTGAACACTGCAAAGAATTAAACATTTCAGCTACAGCTAATAATAACAATAGTAATAATAATAATAATAATAATAATAATAATAATAATAATAATAATAATAAATACGATATAATTGAAGGAGGAAATTGTACAAAAATACGAGGGAGTGGTTGACACATCGTCAGTCTGACTTTGTTTATGCTGGAGTGAACATTAGTCTCCCTGCTCTTCCAAACATTTCACAATAATTCATTGTGTTTGGTGCTTGTAGATTGAGTGTGACTGGAGTGGTAGAGGCAGTGGTTGAGGCAATGGTATTTAATAACATACATGTTAATAATAATACATGTTATTAATAATAACATGTACTATTATTATTTATAACATATATGTTATTAAATACCACTGCCTCAACCGCTGAATTATTGTGAAATGTTTGGAAGAGCAGGGAGACTAATGTTCACTCCAGCATAAACAAAGTCAGACTGACGATGTGTCAACCACTCCCTCGTATTTTTGTACAATTTCCTTCTTCAATTATATCGTATTTATTATTATTATTATTATTATTATTGTTATTATTAGCAATAGCAGAAATGTTCGATTCTTTGCTGTGTTCAAGAGTAAACACATGATTTCACCGTCTAATACCTTTCCTAATAGCCATTCCAATATGCAGTCATGAATGGGTTTACATTATTTATTCTGTAGTTTAATAGCAAATAATGAACAACAAAACACTCACCACACTAAGTGGTGGGAGGGCTGGCTGCCAGTTGCGGGGGTCGGAGGGAGGGTAGTAGGGCCTCGCAGTGGTGGAGGCATTGGTGGAGTCTGTGGTATTTAATAACATACATGTTATTAAATAACATAAAGTTATTAAAGCATAACATGTATATATTTAGTACAATTTACGACGTTTTCATGTATTTTATGATTATTCATGGTTCAACAAGTCAAGAAAGCAGTATTGTAATATATTTCCCTACAATATATTGGGGCACCAAACATTCACGGTTTTTCAACATTCGCGAGCCTCTTGATCCCCTAACCCTCGCGAATGTTGAGGGAGACCTGTATTTAGTTTGTATGAGGTATGGTTATTTTCCTGTCCAACATTTAGAACTTTGCATTTGTCTATATTAAAGTGCATCTGCCACGTCTCTGACCACTGCATCAGTCTCTTCCATCCATCCTGGAGTGCTCTAATGTCCTCATTACAATGAATTGGATGGCCTATTTTGATGTCATCAGCAAATCTGCTTATGTCACTATTTATTCCCTTATCTATGTCATTTATGTAGATTGTGAACAACAAGGGGCCCAACACTGACCCCTATGGAACACCACTTGTGACTTGCCCCCATTCTGATTTCTCCCCATTTACACAAACTCTCTGTTGCCCATTTGTCAACCATGCCTCTACCCAGGAAAAAATTTCTCCTATTCCATGTGCCTTACTGAAGTCCATGTACACTATCATATTCAATACCATGATCTACCTCCTCAAATACCTTAGTGAAGAAAGTTAATAAGTTCATAAGACAAGAACGCCCCCAGAAATTTGAAATTATGCTACCCGAAATTAGTGCTGGATTACTGATGGAACCAGATTAGTGATCAATATGCAAGCCAGTGTTTAACCCTTTGACTGTTTCAGGCCCCTCTCTGAAACTGTCATTCTACGTCGCTCAATTTTTGAAAAAAAAAAATATTTTTTCTTATGAAATGATAAGAGAATCTTTTCCCGATGGTAATGACACCAAAAGTTCGAAATTTGGTCGAAAACTCATGGAATTATGCTCCCGCGAAGTTAGCGGTCTCGGCGACATATGCGTATCGGCGATTTCACAGACTTTGAGCCCTATTTTCAGCCAATTCCATTGTTCCAGTTGACCAAACTCATAGCTATTTCTTTAGAACTCCATTTTATCTATCAGCTGAGTACAAGAAACCTCCCATTTACTAATTTGTACTACCCAATATGGTGGTCAGAAATTGGCAATTTGGCCAATTTCACGCAAACTAAAAAAGATGCCAATTTCAAAATAGGGTCCAGAATAAACAAGGTAGACATTCGTGGCACTAAAATATCATATGCTCTGTTCATTAGTCACATCTCTAGGCCCCTCTTATATTATTATTGCTTTCTATTTTGATTTTTTATTCATACAAAAAAATAAAAAATTTACTGTTATGCAGACTACTGCATTATTGTAAAAATGGTATAAATAATATCAGTGCACTAGTGAAAGAATATTAGACTCCCCAGTTGACGTGTATTGGACGTGTGGTGTGATTTATTTACTCCTGAACATTGGTAAAAATCGAACATTTCCGCTACTTTGAGCTCAGTTTCAAGGTCGTTTTCATCGTCAAAGTAATGAAAATCATCTCTATTTCTGTAATATGTTTTCCATTTTATCACCTAAGACCATGAAAACGCGAATACAACGATAAATACTATACAAAAATACACCTCAAAGTCGGCGTTTTATTCCAAAAAAACGATCAGTTTTTTTTTTCTCATTACGCAATGTGTGCTGCAGGATTTTTTTTATGTGGTGCACACTGACCACACAGACCCATTCTCTCACATGTGGGCCTACCAGCTTTCTCCTGCTTGATTTGAAGCCGCTAGAATTATTGAGTATATATACGTCAGAAACATTGGCTCGTAAGACATATTTATACGTCGAAAACAGTCAAAGGGTTAAAAATACGTGTATAAATATAAACATGTATTTATTTATTTATTTATTTTTGCAATCAGTTACCAACCTTCTGTCACCTTCATCCTCACTCATGTTTCCAGCACTGCTGACACTTGATCTACGTGATGCCCTAGAAGATGCAGATGCCCTTGAGGCCCGAGATGCTCGTGAGGTCCTTGATGCAACGGATTTCAGTGATTCATTATCAGAATCCTGCGCTGCAACAGGGCTTGAACCAGTTTCTTCCTCTGAAATTAAAGTGGAGAAATAAATACCATCTGTACATTATACTGTAGAGTACTTCCTTTTATTATACAGTTTTAAACCACACGACTAAAATAATTGTTTTTGGCTATGAATCACAGAATGAGTGGAGTTTCAACCCATGCTATGCATTCAAACCCCACCCACTCCACGATTTGTTGGCAATTGTGTTATTACGACTAACCTGAGCCATTTTTGACTGTACGGGTGGAAACATTAGGACTTGTATCCTTAAGACACCTGCTGCCCCTGTTCACCTATCAGTAAAATAGGTACCTGGGTGTTAGTTGACTGGTGTGGGTTGCATTGTGGGACAAAACTGACCTAATTTGCTTGAAATGCTCTGCATAACAAAGGGCTGTCTGTACACAGTAGGGCCCCACTCTACTGTGTTTCGCCTTACGACTTCCCCAACCAGACTTTCTAATATGGTCACCATACCCCATCCAGTTTGTTTACATTCTCCATGAGTTCCGTGAATGCCGCGTCTCTCCAGTATGTCTGGAAACTTTCCAAAATTTCAAGTGTTTTAAGGTTATTTCATGTTTTATATATTCTTCTTTCAACAAACCGACCGTATCCCACTGAGGCAGGGTGACCCAAAAAGAAAACAAAAGTTTAATTTTAGCAATGTATATAGGAGAAGGGGTTACTAGCTCCTTGCTCGTGGCATTTTAGTTGCCTCTTATGACACGCGCTGTTTATGGAGGAAGAATTCTGTTCCATTTCCCCATGGAGATAAGAGGAAATAAACAAGAACTAGTAAGAAAACAGAAGAAAACCCAGTTGTATGTGTATATACATGTACATGCTTGTAAATGCATGGGTAGTGTGACCTAAGTGTAAGTAGAAGTAGCAAGACATACCTGAAATCTTGCATGTTTGTGAGACAGAAAAAAGATGCTAGCAATCCTACCATCATGTAAAACAATTACAGGCTTTTATTTTTCACTCATTTGGCAACCTCCTTGGGTGGTTGTTGTCTACCAACCTACTACTTAGGTGTTTTATATATACTCTGATAATTATATTTGTGTGTACCTGTACCTAAATAAACTTACACACGCTGCTGGCATGCAGGTACACATTAACCCTTTGACTGTCGCGGCCATATATATACGTTTTACGAGGTACCGTGTTTGACGTATATACAGTGGACCCCCGGTTAACGATATTTTTTCACTCCAGAAGTATGTTCAGGTGCCAGTACTGACCGAATTTGTTCCCATAAGAAATATTGTGAAGTAGATTAGTCCATTTCAGACCCCCAAACATACACGTACAAACGCACTTACTTAAATACACTTACATAATTGGTCGCATTCGGAGGTAATCGTTATGCGGGGGTCCACTGTATACTCATAAATTCTAGCGGCTTCAAATCAAGCAGGAGAAAGCTGGTAGGCCCACATGTGAGAGAATGGGTCTGTGTGGTCAGTGTGCACCATATAAAAAAAATCCTGGAGCACGCAGTGCATAATGAGAAAAAAAAAAACTGACCGTTTTTTTAATTAAAATGCCGACTTTGTGGTCTATTTTCGTATAGTATTTATTGTTGCATTCTCGTTTTCTTGGTCTCATTTGATAGAATGGAAAACATATTATAGAAATAGAGGTGATTTTGATTGATTTTATTATAAAAAGAACCTAGAAATGGAGCTCAAAGTAGGTGAAATGTTTGATTTTTGCCAATGTTCAAAAGTAAACAAATTATGCCATTGTCCAATAAATGTCCAACTAGCCATTCTAATATGCAGTCATGAATGGGTATTGCAGTAGTCTGCATAATAGTAAGTCTTCTATTTTTTGTTTGAATAAAAATTCAAAATAGAAAGCAAGAGTAATATCAGAGGGGCTTGGAGACGTGACTAATGAACAAAGAAAATGTTATTTTAGAGCCAGGAATGTCTGCATTGTTCATTCTGGACCTTATTTTGAAATTGTCACAATTTTTAATTCTCGTGAAATTGGCCAAATTGCAAATTTCTGACCACGTTATTGGGTAGTTGAAATCGGTAAATGGGTAGTTTCTTGTACTCAATCGATAGAAAAAATGGAGTTCTAAAGAAATATCTATGAGTCTGGGCGACTGGAACAATGGAATTAACCGAAAATAGGGCTCAAAGTGGGCGAAATCGCCGATTTGTAAACAGCGCCAAGGTCGCTAACTTCGCAGGAGCATAATTCTGTCAGTTTTGCATCAAATTTCGTTTGTTTTTTGGTGTCATTACAATCGGGAAAAGATTCTCTATCATTTCATAAGAAAAAATAATTTTTTTTTTTAAATTTTGTGACACCAGGAGACACCTCAGGATTGGGGGTTGCGACAGTCAAAGGGTTAAAATCACTAAGAGTGTCTTATTAGTCTTAAGGATGCCATATTAATAATCACGATAATACGCAATAATAATCACGGAGGCGCATTAAGGTTTTCAGGAGTCTTGGTTATCATGAATTTTGGTTATCAGCAACTTTTTTCGTCAAAATATATCCTTGGTTTTCATGATTTCCCTTGGATTTCAGCGGTGGTACGGTACGTGTCCCAGTGGCACTGCACGCACACAGCCTGCCACACACGCACTCAGCGCCAGTCTGGCATTGTTTCTCGGTGAGTGAGCATCACACCCTGTATTCAAACAAAACATTTCACAATAATCCAGTGTTTTTTGTGCTTGCAACTGCTAAATAAGCCACCTTGGGCCAAAAGAAAGCTGCTAGTTCCAGCCCTATGGTAAAGAAAGTGAGAAACACAATAGAATTCAAGAAAAAACTCGTAGCAAAGTACCAAAGTGGAGGAGGAAGAGAGAGGGGAGAAGGTGCCTTCTTCAGTAATTCTACGAGATATACGATACTAAAGCAGCAGGAGTCGATAAAGGCTATAGCGCCAGCTAGTGATAAAGTGTAGCAATAATAGTGTAACAAGTTAAGTGATTAAGCGATAGAAAGACAAGAAACTAAATCATCCAATGTTACTGAAGATATACATGTATAAGGCCACTGACAACACCACTGCCTCTGCAGCCACCTCCACCACCACTAATATGTATGACTTATGCTGTCAGTGGCCCTTATAAACCCAACACCACCACCACTTACTCCTCATATACGTAATTACACATTTTATTCATTCTAGAATATACATGTATGTGTATCATTTTTCTATGTTATTAACCTTTTGACTGTTGCAAGCCCATTTCTGAATCTGTCATTCAATTTTGAAAAATATTCAAAAAATAAAATTTATTTATTTCTTGCCAAAACATTAGGATTATTTTGCCGAGTGTTTTAAGCCTAAAAAAATTTTTGTGATCATTACTTACCGAGATACAGAGGTGTAAAGTTGGCAGAAAATGAGCTGTGTATGGCAACAGTGGCGAATGCGGCCCTGCCTCTTCACTGACCGCTACTGGGTCCTCCCTCTCCCTGCTCCGTGAGCTTTATCACACCTCGTCTTAAAACTATGTATAGTTTCTGCCTCCACTACATCGCTTGCCAGACTATTCCACTTCCTAACAACTCTGTGGCTGAAGAAATACTTCCTAACATTCCTTTGACTCATCTGAGTCTTCAGCTTCCAATTGTGGCCCCTTGTTTCTGTGTCCCTTCTCTGGAACATCCTGTCTCTGTCCACCTCGTCTATTCCATGTGGTATTTTGTATGTCGTTATCATGTCTCCCCTGACCCTCCTGTCCTCCAGTGTCAGACCAATTTCCCATAACCTTCCTTAGGAGGATATTCTCCTTAGCTCTGGAAGCAGCCTTGTTGCAAACCTTTGCACTTTCTCTAATTTCTAGACGTGTTTGACCAGGTGTGGGTTCCAAACTGGTGCTGCGTACTCCAGTATGGGCCTGACGTATACAGTGTATATGTCTTAAACGATTCCTTACTGAGGTATTGGAACGGTATTCTCAGGTTTGCCAGGTGCCCATATGCCGCAGCAGTCATCTGGTTACTGTGTGCTTTTTATTTATTTTATGTTTTTGCCAACAGTACATTGAGATTTTGTATTTACAATAGTGGGTTCCAATGCAAAGAGAGCCTCTATTATGCCTAGGCATTATGGGCAACTTAACATTATTGGCTTACAGTTTACTTAATACTAAGGAGTAGTATATCATAGTTGTACAGTAGGAAAGTAATTATTTCATAGTTGTACAGTAGAATATTAATTATAAATGAATCAAAATTTGTATAATACATGTACAAAGATATATTTATATTCAAAAATGCTTTTTGTGAAAACAATGATTCAATTATATTCCTGTCAACAATGGATAAAAGGTTCAATGTGATTGTTTCAGTTATGATGTGGGAGTACATAGGTGAGTAAGTGTGTACTGAGTATTTAGCATTTAGTCTAGGGTGATTAAGTGGGTTTTGAGAAGTCTTAAATTGATTTTCAGACTGGGTTACTTTAATATCTTCTGGTAATGAATTCCATATTTTGGGGCCCTTTATGTGCATAGAGTTTTTACACAGTGTGATATGGACACGAGGTATATCAAAAAGAGATCTGTGTCTTGTGTTGTGGTCATGTGTCCTGTTTAGGTTGGTGAGTAGTAGTTTGAGTGGGGGGGGGGTTACATTTCTGTGTGTTGTTCTGTGTATATAGTAGGCACATGAATAAGTATGGATGTTCTTAATGGTGAGCAGAATCAGACTTGAAAATTGGTGGAGTATGCTGGTGGGAGTGGGAATTTGTTATCATTCTTACTGCTGCCTTTTGCTGGGTTACTAGGGGTTTTAGGTGATTGGATGTTGATCCCCATGAACAAATTCCATATGTAAGATAAGGGTATATGAGTGAATGGTACAGTGCCAGGAGAGCTGATTGTGGAATGTAGTACCTTATCTTTGATAGTATGCCTACAGTCTTGGAGATTTTCTTGGTGATTTGTTGTATGTGTGTCCAGAACTTAAGGCTACTGTCAAGGTGGATACCTAGGAATTTTCCCTCTGCGAGTCTTGTGACTGATGATCCATTTAGCATTATGTTAATCAGATCATTTGCAGCTTTGTTTCCAAACTGAATGAAATTGGTTTTATCAGTGTTCAGGGTACGTTTGTTAGTCATCATCCAGGCAGATATTTTCTGTAATTCAGCACTGATTGTGTTTGCTAGTATGACTGTGTTTGGGTGGGAAAAGACATGTGTAGTGTCATCTGCAAATAATATGGGTTTGAGTAGCTGTGATGCATTCAGAAGATCATTGATGTAGATGAGAAAGAGGAGTGGTCCAAGGATGCTTCCTTGTGGGACTCCTACTGTGATTGGTTGGATGGAAGAGTTTGCATCATTTGCATACACATATTGAGTTCTGTTACTAAGGTATAACTTTAGGTAGTTGAGGGAGTGGCCTCTGATACCACAGTGCATTAATTTGGAGTACAGCAGTTCATGGTCGACTGTATCGAAAGCTTTACATAAATTAATGAAAATGCCCAGCGGGATTTCTTTCTTTTCAAGTGCGGTATATATTAGTTCTAGCTTCTGGCGATGTACTCGGTATTATACGTACTCCTAGATCTTTCTCCTTGAGTGAGGTTTGCAGTCTTTGGCCTCCTAGCCTATACTCTGTTTGCGGTTTCTTTGCCCTTCTCCGATCTTCATGGCTTTGCATTTGGCGGGGTTAAATTCTAGGAGCCAGTTGCTGGACCACGCATCCAGAGTGAAAGAGAGAGTGAAGAGAGAGAGAGAGAGAGAGAGAGAGAGAGAGAGAGAGAGAGAGAGAGAGTGTGAGTGAGTGTGAGAGTGAGTGTGAGAGTGATGAGATAGATGTGAGTGAGTGAGTGAGGAGTGGAGTGAGTGAGTGAGTGTGAGTGAGTGTATGAGTGTGAGTGAGAGAGTGTGAGTGGAGGAAGTGAGAGAGTGTGAGTGAGAGAGTGTGAGTGAGTGTGAGAGAGTGTGAATGAGTGTGAGAGTGAGTGTGAGTGTGTGTGTGAGTGTGTGTGTGTGTGTGTGTGTGTGTGTCCGTCCTCGCCTGGTTGTACTCACCTAGTTGAGGTTGCAGGGGTCAAGTCCTAGCTCCTGGCCCCGCCTCTTCACTGGTCGCTACTAGGTCACTCTCCCTGAACCGTGAGCTTTATCATACCTCTGTGTGTGTGTGTGTGTGTGTGTGTGTGTGTGTGTGTGTGTGTGTGTGTGTGGGGTTTTGTGTGTGTGTGTGTGTGTGTTGGGGTGTTGTGTGTGTTGTGTACTCGCCTATTTGTGGTTGCAGGGGTCGAGTCATAGCGCCTGGCCCTGCCTCTTCACTGATTGCTACTAGGTCCTCTCTCTCCCTGCTCCATGAACTTTATCATACCTCGCCTTAAAACTATGTATGGTTCCCGCCTCCACTACTTCACTTCTGGGCTATTCCTTGGCCTGACTACTCTATGACTGAAGAAATACTTCTTAACATCCCTTTGATTCATCTGAGTTTTCAACTTCCAATTGTGACCTCTTGTTTCTGTGCCCTATCTCTGGAACATCCCGTCTTTGTCCACCTTGTCTATTCCGCGCAGTATTTTGTATGTCGTTATCATGTCTCCCCTGGCCCTCCTGTCCTCCAGTGTCGTCAGGCCGATTTCCCTGAACCTTTCTTCGTAGGACAATCCCCTTAGCTCTGGGACTAGTCTTGCTGCAAACCTTTGCACTTTCTCTAATTTCTTGACGTGCTTGACCAGGTGTGGATTCCAAGCTGGTGCTGCATACTCTAGTATGGGCCTGACATAAATGGTATACAGAGTCTTGAACGATTCCTTACCAAGGTATCGGAACGCTATCCGTAGGTTTGCCAGACGCCCGTATGCTGCAGCAGTTATCTGATTGATGTGCGCCTCAGGATATGCTCAGTGTTATACCACCCAGATCTTTTTCCTTGAGTGAGGTTTGCAGTCTTTGTCCATCTAAACTATTTTGTGTCTGTGGTCTTCTTCCCCTTTCCCCCAATCTTCAGGGAATTTGCATTTGGCAGGGTTAAACTCAAGGAGCCAGTTGCTGGACCAGGCTTGTAGCCTGTCCAGGTCTCTTTGTAGCCCGCCTGATCCTCTTTCCCGATTTGATTCTTCTCATTAACTTCACATCATCTGCAAACAAGGACACTTCTGAGTCTATCCCTTTCCGTTATGTCCATTCACATATACCAGAAACAGCACAGTCCTAGGACCGACCCCTGTGGAACCCGCTTGTCACAGGCGCCCACTCTGACACCTCGTCACGTACCATGACTCGTCGTTGCCTCCCTGTCAGGTATTCTCTGATCCATTGCAGTCCCTTTCCTGTTATGTGTGCCTGGGTTTCCCCTAGCTTTTGCAGTAACCTCTTTGTGAGGAACTGTGTCGAAGGCCTTCTTGCAGTCCAAAAAAATGCAGTCGATCCACCCCCCTCTCTCTTGTCTTACTTCTGTCACCTTGTCGTAAAACTCCAGTAGGTTTTTGACACAGGATTTTCCTTTCCCCGAAACCGTGCTGGTTTTCAATTATACACTTGTTTCTTTCCAGGTGCTCCACCACTCTCCTCCTGATGACTTCTCCATGACCTTGCATACTACACACGTTTTGGGGATAAGGTCTGTAGTTTAGTGCCTCATGTCTGTCTCCCCTTTTAAAAAATAGGGACTACATTTGCCATCTTCCATACCTCAGGGAGTTGCCCAGCTTCAATGGATGTGAAGATCTTTGTTAATGGCACACACAGCATCTCTGCTCCCTCTCTAAGGACCCACGGAGAGATGTTGTCTGGTCCCACTGCCTTTGAGGTGTCAAGTTCACATAGCAGCTTCTTCACCTCCTCCTTGGTTATGTGTACCTCATCCAGCACTTGTTGGTGTATCTCCCTATTCTGATTTCCTGGAGTCCTACTGGTTTCCACTGTAAATACTTCTTTAAATCTCGTGTTGAGCTCCTCACATACCTCTCGGTCGTTTCTTGTGAACTCCCCATCACCCATCCTCAGTCTGATTATCTGGTCCTTGACTTATTTTCCTCCTGATGTGGCTATACAACAGCTTCGGGTCAGACTTGACTTTCGATGCTATGTCATTTTCATATTGTCGCTGAGCCTCCCTTCTTATCTGTGCATATTCGTTTCTGGCTCTTCGGCTAATCTCCTTATTTTCCTGA